AGAGGACATAGTATGTATGATTTGATCCTCTGGTATGGGTTAAGACTTGCTTTGTAGTCCAGTATTTAATCAATGTTTGTAAACATTCATTTGTGCTTAAATATATTGTGTATTTTCTAATTGTTGGGTGCAGGACTTTAGAATTGTTCACAGTTCAAAGATCTGACTGGATTGTTCAATTTTCTATATCCTTATAACCATTTTTTTTTCTGTTTGATTGATCAACTTCTGAGAGAGGTAGATTAAAATCTCCAATAGTAATTGTGGGTTTTCATTTTTCCCTGTAAGTTTGTCAGTTTTTGCTTTATTATTTGATGCTTTGTTATAAGTTTACATGTATTCACTTTTTTTGCAGCCTAGGTCCTGTCGCTAGTCTGATTCCTAGTTCATTTTGGTTCTTTGGCTTCAAATTTTGAAAAGTCCTTTGACAAGACTATAGCCCTGGGGAGCCTTAGTGTGATAAATGGAGGAGATTTTCATGCCTGAGTATGATGTACTGTACTCTTCTGTAGTCATTATATATCGTAGAACCCTGTTTTTATGATGTACTTGATCTTGATTACCCTACATAAAGAATGGTCAGAGGGAGTCAGTTGACCTTTGAAAAAATCTGGTGTGACCTTCATCCAGTTAGATTCAACTTACAACAACCTAGGCAAAATTGTCTTCGCTTTTATATAAAAGTGTGAGTTCCTACCTTCACAGGCTTGCTTCCCCCACTCTCTCTCTACACTAATTAACAGGATTCTTCAGTGCTTACTCTAGGGAACGTAGGTCCTTCTAATGAACAAATAGTTAGTAAGAGAACCTCAGCAAGATGAAAATAATTTCCCTTCTTCTTGATAGCTGCTAAAACATACTGTTTTGTATCACAAAGCTATCTCTGGTGAAGAGATAAATTGAGAACATTTTAAAACTATCATTCCTGTCCCCTGTCCAAAATTTAGACTGCATGAAAATGTATCATTCTACTTTCTCTTATAGTTATCTTTACAAATATTATTTGTAAAAAAACAAACAAACAAAAAACCCATGAACTTCTGACAATGTTGCTATATCCTGTAAAATGGAACCAGTAGCCTCTGAAACATCTGTCTGCCTTTCTAATCATTGTCTTGGTTGATAAATTATTACCTACAAGTACCTTTTAAATTAACATCTCCATTTGGCAAAGTTATATCTACTAGTATATCTACATGCAAGTCGTGTTAGTAAAAAAAGGTTTGGATTTACCCCTTCTCCTCTCATTCATATAATCTCATGATTCCCTTTGGATTCCACATTCAAAGAGCTTGAGAGATTTTGTTTTATTTATTTTTATTTTATATTTTTAATCTCTATTGTTGAAAGTATTATATATTTCCCTCATTGACCCCTTCTAGCCTTCCCCTGTCACCCATCCCCTCCTCCTGCCTTCACCACCCTATTGTCTGTGTCTGTGGGTTATGCATATATGCATACAAGTTCTTTGGTTCATCACTTCCCACCCTCTCCACTTTCCCTCTGAGATTCTGCAATCTGTTCTATGCTTCTATGTCTCTGAGTCTGTTTTGTTCATCAATTTATTTTGTTCATTAGATTCCCACATATGAGTGACATTATACAATACTTGTCATTCTTTGACGAGAAATTTTGTTTTATTTAAAATAACACCTACTATAACTTTTCCCCATACACTTACTTTCAACCTTTGTGTGTCTTTTTGCTTTAGTTTTGACTAAATCCAATTGACATTTTGTTTTTTAACTGGCAAGTTGGATATGTTAATACTAGAGGCCCAGTGCATGCAAATTTGTGCACTTGGGGTCGGGGGGTCCCTCAGCCTGGCCTGTGCCCCTCTTTCAGTCCAGGACCCATCGGGGGATGTCCACCTGCCAGCCTAGGCCTGATCCCCTGGGGAATGGGCCTAAGCTGGCAGACAGACATTCCTCTGGCAGCCTGGGAGCTCTCTGGGGATGTCCGACAGTCAGACATCCTTAGTGCTCCTTAGCGCTGCCATGGAGGCGGGAGAGGCTCCACCACCACCACCACCACCACCACCACCGCTGCACAGCCGTCAGCCCAGCCTGTGGCTGAGCAGAGCTCCCTCTGTGAGAATGCACTGACCAACAGCGGGCAGCTTCTGCGTTGAGCATCTGTCCCATGGTGGTCAGTGCATGTCATAGTGACTGGTCATTCCTGGTTGTTCTGCCATTAGGGTCAATTTGCATATTACCCTTTTATTATATAGGACTTCCTGAGCATTCTGAAATATTGAAATTGTTGTCAATTTGTGCTTTCTATTTACCCTGCTTTGCTTCCTTTTTCTCCTGTCTTGCCTTGTTAAAAATTATAGTTTTCTAGCACTGGATGACATTGCTCAATGATTAGAGCATTGGCCTGCACACCAGAGGGTCATGGGTTCAATTCCCAGTCAAGGGCCCATACCTGGGTTGTAGGTCCAATCCCCAGCTCTGTCAGGGTGCATTTGGGAGGCAACCAATCCATGTGTCTCTGTCACATGATGTTTCTCTCTCTCTCCTCCCCACCCCTCCATTCTACTCTCTCTAAAAATAAATGGGGGGAAAATGATAGTTTTCTTGTTCCCCTCTACTAATTTGAAAATAATACATTCTATTTATATTATTTTATTTTTCTAGAAAAAGTTCTTAGCATATATATTATATATGAATGATTTCTAATTATCTATCATCTACCTATAATTCTATCCTCCGTGTCAAATATAAACTGTCTTTTCTATTTTTACTTCTTTATCGCTCTAAGCTACATTTTGGTTCTTTTTCAGCTCTTTCTGGTCTGTCTTAATATTACCTTATTCTTTTCTCACATTTTTTATTCTTTTATGTATTTAATGATTCAAACTTGCTTTTTAATCTCTGTCCTAGTATTTGAAATATTAGGAGTTCTGCCACATTAGATTCTAACTCATTAATGGTAGATTGGTATTTGGATTATGAACTCATCTTCAGGGACTTAATCTGTGGGAACAGTGTGAGTCTGAGTTGAGATGTATCCTCCTGAGAAACTTCTTGTTTGTTTCTGCCAGCCTTCCTAGGGAATATTATAACCTAAGACCACATTAAAAAGTATTTTTTCCTAAGAATTCCAATATTATGGAACTAGCATAAATTCAAGCCCCTAAACCTTTTCAAGGCAGGCTATAGTCCCCAATTCTCAATGGAAATTCTTTTTCTCCTATCTAGAGTCCAAACCCAAACAGACAAGCCCCCACCTTACCTTTTACTCTATACTTTCTCCTTGATAATACCTTCTGAAATAAAAGCTTCAGTTATCTCTGTCAGCAGCTCCAAGATTTTACATATCTTCATCCCAGATTCCCTCCTGAGTCCCAGACCCTAGTATCCAACTACCTATTTGAATATCTAAGGCATCATCTCAAATTCAACTAGTTTAAGATCAATAAAATTCATGACCTTCCCCTCAAAAGTAGTTCTCTTCTAGTGTCTTCTATTTCAGTGAATGGCCTGATTATTCATATAGTTGTTCATTCCACAAATCTAGGAGCCATCCTTGCCAGCTCCTCATCTCCCCACCCAACCTATCATATGCCCCTGTCAATTTCACCTCTTTTTTTTTTTAAATATATTTTATTGATTTCAGAGAGGAAAGGAGAGGGGGAGAGAGAAACATCAATGATGAGAGAGAATCATCGATCGGCTGCCTCCTGCATGCCCCCCACTGGGGATCGAGCCCGCAACCCAGGCATGTGCCCTTGGCTGGAATCGAACCCGAGACCCCTCAGTCTGCAGGCCGATGCTCTATCCCAGGGGTGGGCAAACTTTTTGACTCGAGGGCCACAATGGGTTCTTAAACTGGACCGGAGGGCCGGAACAAAAGCATGGATGGAGTGTTTGTGTGAACTAATATAAATTCAAAGTAAACATCATTACATAAAAGGGTACGGTCTTTTTTTTTTTTTTTTTAGTTTTATCATTTCAAACGGGCTGGATCCGGCCCGCGGGCCGTAGTTTGCCCACGGCTGCTCTATCCACTGAGCCAAACCAGCTAGGGCCAATTTCACCTCTTATTTCACCAAATATCTCTTAAATCTACCCACTCTCCCAATCTCCACTGTTTTCAGAGTACTTCAAGCTATTGGTTCCCCACATTCATTCCTCCAATACATTCTCCACAAAGAGTGAATTTATCCAAATACAATTGGATTGTTTCTCTTTTCTGCTTGAAACTCTCATTCACTGGCTTCACATTCATGGCTATCAAGTCCTTAATATGGTCTACTTGGCTTTGGGTGACCAATGCTGCCTATCTCTAAGACTCAGTCTCATTCCATTCTCTTCTCACTCCCACTTTCTATACTCCAGCCACATTGATTCTCATTGTGTTACTTAGAACCGCAACCCAGGTACATGCCCTTGACCGGAATCGAACCTGGGACCTTTCAGTCCACAGGCCGACGCTCTATCCACTGAGCCAAACCGGTTTCGGCTTAACTCATCTTTTATTTATTTGTTCAAGCATCATTTCTTCAGTTCTCATCACTGTCTTTCAAAGTCTTTATGTTAGTTTATTACCATATAGTCATTACTGTGAATATTTGCTTGATGGCTGTTTTCCCTACTTGGCTATAAGTTTTGTCAAATCAGGGACCTTATCTAGTTCTGCTCATTACTATACTCTGAGTTCTGGCATAGCCACAATACAAAGAGTGCTTAATAAATATTTCTTGAGTGAATAAATAATCATTAAAAATATAACTAAATATACATCTATTCAAACAATCTAAAGGGAGAGATGAAGTGAATAGAGTTATGGATAAAACTAGTGACAACTATAGTGGGATCCTTATACTATTCTCTCTACTTTTCCAGGTTTTTGAAATTGTCCATAAAAAAGATTATTCAACTTACTAAGTCATAATACTGTATTTGAATTTGATAAGTGGTGAACTTAATATTAAAAATAGATTATCAGCTCTTTAGGGAATGAAAATATTATTCAACCAAAAATATTATACTGACCTGAAGATATTTCGGTAATGGTTAATTGGGCCACTTAATGCTCCAGGCTGGGAAAAAACATAAACATAAGCTTCAAGCTCTTCCGTGGTTAATTGACATCCTTTTCCTCTAATGCCAGTGTGATGACTGGTAAACAGATGTTTCAAAGCCTAATTTAAGTGGAAAGAGAATAATTAAAACTTTTCTGTTACCTAATAATAAACTATGTTACCTCTTGTGTAAAAAGGGGGGGAGACAAATATATAAATATTTGCTTATATTTTTAAAAAGAAAGAATAAAAAGATGAAACAAAAACTAATTAAAATGGTTTTCTATGTGAGCGGGAGGAAACAGAGATGTAAGTGAGACCTCTCTGAATGCACCTTGTTTTAGAGTTTTGACTTGAAACCATATAAATATTTTATATTAAATGTTTTATATAAGTTAAGTAAAAACACTTTGATAAATGACTGATTCCAGATCTGGGGCAGAAAATAAAAGAAACCTAGATCATTAAGAAAGCAAACTATCGCTGACTAAAGTGCTCCTGTCAAAAGGATACAGGAGCCGCCCTGGTCGGTGTGGCTCAGTTGGTTGAGTGTTGTCCCATGCACCAAAAGGCTGCTGGATTGATTCCCAGTCAGGGCCCAAGTTTGTGTGCTCGATCCCCAGTAGGGAGTGTGCAGGAGGCAGCTGATCAATGATTCTCTCTCATCATTGATGTTTCTAGCTCTCTCTCCCTCTCCCTTCCTCTCTGAAGTTAATAAAAATCTATTTTAAAAAAAAAGAAAGAAAATTCTTCTTTATAGAAGAATTCCAGTTAATAAAAGCAGAAAGATTAATGGAATTAGAAAATCACCATTTTGCAAACCCTAATGAAATAATGGACCTAGGCAATGATGATCAAGTTATACTAAAATTATTTGGTGAAAAATTGCTTGGAAATTTTGGATAGGCTGACAACTTGTGAGCCCAGTGGTCAGTGTAAGCATTATTAAAACAGACAGCTAGACATTATGTACTTCCCTGATGTGGTAACCTTAGGAAATACACAACTATGCTTGCCAAATTAAATGTATAATCAAGCCTCTAGATCAGTAACATCTACAGATTAGGAAAAACAAGAGTTAGCAGAATAGGTTAAATAATACCATAATGAAGAAGTCAGCCAAATTAAAAATGTAGATCATTCCTCAGGACAAATGACTAAATTTCTTTAATAATAATAAAAAAATATTGCCTGGCTGGTATGGCTCAATGGTTGAGCATCGACCTATGAATCAGGACGTCACAGTTTAATTCCTGATCAGGGCACAGGCTCAGGTTCCAGTCTTAATCTCCAGTGTGAAGTGTGCTGGAGGCAGCCAATCAACAATTCCCTCTCATCACTGATGTTTTTATCTCTTTCTCTCCCTTCCTCTCTCTGAAATAAATTTTTTTAAAAATGTGTTTTAATTGTGTTAAACAACAGAAACCCAATGTGGACACCCTGGGAGGTTGGCATAGGGAAGCATAAGGCTCTGCCTCATGACGTGCAATCCTTTTCCACGACACTGGAGATAAGCCTGTCCCTTGAGTTTGTACCTACATATTCCTATGGCTTCTCAGAGTCCTACAGATAATGACTGAGGAGACAAATCATTCAGGAAACATAAACATCTGGTATACTAAAATTTAAATCTTAAGTAACATCTTAAACAGTCTAATCTTCTGGGGGAAGGAGGTGGTTATTTTGTTTGAAAAAACCCCCACAAAAACAAATAAGGAACTGCTATAATTTTAAAAGACATCGCAACCAAATACAATGTTTGGATCTTGTTTAGTTTCTGATCCAAACAAATGAAGTTGAGATAGTAAGGAAATTTAAATGGGTATTAAATGATATGACAAAATTTTTCATTTTGGTAGGTTTGTAAATGGCATTGGGGTTATGTGGAAAAGACAAGTCATTATTATCAGAGATATATGCAGAAGTATTTTTCAGGTAAAATAATATTGTCTTTTTTTTAACCTCCCTAAATATCTGCTACTATGTTGGACATACAAGAAGCATTCAATGACCTTCTAAGAAATAGCTACTACATAGGACTCCTGGTGTCAGGGTACATGGTACACCAATAACTGCATGCTTATTGTGTTTCAGGGTTTTATTTATCTCCAAGGGCTTCCACTTATTCTGTCAAACTCTCTCACTTGGCATTCATATTTCCTCATCTCCCCTATGGGTTGTTCTCTAAAAAGAGGTATTCCTGTGGGCTCTAGGCTCTCAAAAACAAACAAACAAACAAACAAACAAACAAACAAAAAACTGAACAGCAGCTAGGCACTCAAATATATAAACAGATTTTTAAAATAAGTAAGCTTATAAATGAAGCCTTAGAAGCATTTATTAAGTTTTAATATTTTGTCTATTTTTCTTTCTTAAGGATGGACTTTAATTTAAAATATTTTTTGTTTTTGCATAGGAGGAAATGCCTAACACAGTGCACACAATATAACAGATGTTCAATAAATGATTATTTAAAACAAAGCAAAACAACACAAGCAGGACCAGTTCTTTTCTTTTTTTAATGCTTCAGTCTATCTTTATTTTTAACTTCCTAATTTTGTCATCTTCTTGGGGCACCAAGTCTTTTTTTTCTTTAATTGAGGTATAATTGTCTTATAACATTAGTATTAGTTTCAGGTGTTCAACATAATGATTTGCTATTGTATACATTGCAAAATGACCACTGCAATTAGCACTGGTTAACATCTATCACTACATATGACTTACCTTGAAATCATTTATTGAGAACATAAATTCTGGGAACCATGGTATTTGGAAGAAGTAATAATAGCTGGATTTGAACAGCTGGGCAGGGTGTCGTAAAATATATTCTGAAATTAAAATATCATATTAGACCTTATCCAAAAAATATAAATTAGCTACTAAAAAAAGAACTTATTTTTTAAGGCAATTTTACCTTTGAGATGATACCATAAAAGCATCCACAAATAAGGGTTTCTGTGTAATTTCTCTTTGGAGCAATTTCGATGTTCTTATATTTTATTATGGATATTTCTGGTGTTTAGAAAAATGTATAGCACTTTAAATAAAAAAGGAAGTCCCACTTTATGAAGTCTTGACTCAGAAAGGAACAGGAAACCCAAACACCACTGCCATTCTTTTAAGGTCATTATCAGTGACCTAGCACTTTTCCTAGGGATGCAGAGGGAGATCATTTCCTACTGTTTAAAAGATTTTCCTTATTGGTTGATTTGAATGCCTTATCCATTTGACCTCAACAGAAAAGAAAGTGTTTCCTATAAATTTACTCATGAATCCAGAAAATTCATTCATTCCATGAATATTTGAATATCTATTCTGTTTGAGGGGATTTAGCAGTGAACAAGACAAAAGATGTTCTCATTAACTTATACAATAAATAAGTAACGAATACTTAAAAGAACATTTTGATAGCAATAATACCATACAGAAAACAAAACAAGGTAATTTGATTAAGAATGATGGTTGGGTGGTGTAGAGGGACTATTATATAGTAGAGCAGCGGTTCTCAACCTGTGGGTTGCGACCCCTTTGGGGGTCGAACGACCCTTTCACAGGGGTCGCCTAAGACCATCAGAAAACACATATATAATTACATATTGTTTTTGTGATTAATCACTATGCTTTACTTATGTTCAATTTATAACAATGAAAATACATCCTGCATATCAGATATTTACATTACGATTCATAACAGTAGCAAAATTACAGTTATGAAGTAGCAACGAAAATAATTTTATGGTTGGGGTCACCACAACATGAGGAACTGTATTCAAGGGTCTCGGCATTAGGAAAGTTGAGAACCACTAAGTAAAGGTTGTCAGAATAGGCTTCTCTGGGCTGAGTCCTGAATGGTACAAAGGAATCAGTCACGCAGAGATCTAGAAAGAGCATCCAGAAACAGAACGTAGATCCTGCCTTTCTCAATTACAAATCTGTGTGAGACCAGATTTCTTCATATACTTCAATTCAAACAACATATTGAAACAGATTGAATGCAGAAGCAGATCTGAGAATCCAGTCATCAGTCGGGACACTCGTAAGTCAAGGCCCCACTGTATGTAAAACAATAGCCCTATTCTCACTAAAATTTTGTTTCGAAAGATGTAGTTAGTTTTCATTAAAATGTTTTTTATGTTAACATGTACTGGAGTTATTGTTTTTTAGATAATTTCACACATACGTTTTTCAAAGTCTCATTTTAAATTTCCAATACAGTGAACATTGATAGATATAACCAATCTAAACAAAAGCTCAATGGGTCTTTAATAACTTTTAAGATATAAAGGAATCCTGAGACCAAAATTTGAGAACTGCTGCTTTAAAAAATGTTGCCATTCCTGATAGTCAAAGCTGTCAGGCAAGAGGAGAACTTATTTCTAGGCTGTCAAGATCCATTCCCATCAAAGTAGTGTTACTGCATCTCCCCCTTTGTCCCTCCCCAAGTTAGCAGTAAAATAATTTCTAAAAATAAAATTATGCAAGCAAACACGAAGCTACAGTTTCTTAGACTCTAAATATTAAATATTTAAAGCACATTGTCATGTATTAATATCATATTTTAGCCATTTAATTTAAAACACATTGTTAATTTAAAAAAGAAAAAAATTATGTTAATCAAATTTTGCTGTTTTTAATCCAAAGTGTCAGTGGCAATAGTGAATTGTCATGTTGGCAATTCATAATGGAAATTTAAGCTCACCTGTAAATACATTTGGATGAGGGAAGTTAATAACAATAAGCTTCATCACCATTTCAGGATAACAGATGGCAATTAGCCAAGCAATCATGCCCCCCCAGTCGTGGCCAATAAGAACACATTTGCTATAACCTGTAATCAAGAAATACATGTTGATGTCATTGAAAAGAAACAGGTGGCTCATCATTAACTCACATAAAATAGGCTCACTTCTGAAACTAATCTTTCCACTATTCTACCCTAATTATTCATCCACTTTGTGCAGACACTGAGTTTGGTATTTTCAAAACCTGTAGGTATGTCCGAATCACCTAGGTAACTTTTTAGAAAATTCAGGTGCCACCCTAGCTGGTTTGGCTCAATGGGTAGAGCGTCAGCCTGTGGACTGAAGGGTCCCAGGTTTGATTCCAGCCAAGGGCACATGCCTGGGTTGCGGGCTCGAACCCCAGTAGGGGGCATGCAGGAGGCAGCTAATCAATGATTCTCTCTCATCATTGATGTTTCTATCTCTTTCTCCCTTCCTCTCTAAAATCAATAAAATATATATTTTTAAAAACACCAAAAATGCTTGCATTTAAAAAAAAAAAAAGAAAAAAGAAAATTCAGGTGCCCAAGCTCCACTCTAGACTTACAAATTCAGAATCTCTCCCAGAAATATAAATATATTTTAATCTGAAATAGTTTAGACACCATGATTAAGACTACATATAATTAGGTCATAAACAAGGTTGAGTTATTTTTGAATGTTGGAGAATTTCTAATTACAGTAAAAACCTAAATGTCCCACCTATGTCCAACTGGTAAATCTTTATTTCAAAGAAGCATCTATTTTCTCCCTAATTTCCCAAATTCAATGTTACAACACAAAACAGTAAAACATCACTAATTTGGGACTGTGAAGTCAAGTTGAATTAGTGGAAAGTCTTAATTATAGTACTAAGCACATACAAGTTTCATTTCGTGTAATCATTATGGTTATTTGCATTAGGTTAAAATACTGATTAGTAGTAATTCCTACAGGATTTCATTTGTATGGATGGATAAGATTAATTTGTAATTTATTCCTACAGTAATTCAAATTAATTTTTTCAAGTAAGTATTTTTCATCATCACCTCACCACTATACTAACATGCACGCACATACACACACAGAGAAACATCTTGTTTATATTATTGATTTGCCTAGAAAATTGCATGTTGACAAACTTAAGCCAGGTCTAAAATATGAATGAAATCTGGCTGTTGGAAATCTGTGTCTCTGAGTCTATTTTATTGTAATCAGACTAAATGGTAACACTGCATTTATACCCCCAGACTCATACACTGTTTTCTCCTCTAAAAATATTGGCTTGGCCCTAGCTGGTTTGGCTCAGTGGATAGAGCATCGGCCTGCAGACTGAAGGGTCCTGGTTTCGATTCAAAGGCACATGCCCAGTTTGTGGGCTCGATGCCTAGTAGGAGGCATGCAGGGGGGCAGCCAATCAATGATTCTCTCTCATCATTGATGTTTCTTTCTCTCTCTCCTTCTCTCTTCCTTTCTGAAATCAATAAAAATATATAAAAAATAAAATAAAATGAAATTATTGGCTTGATCTATGGTCTCATTAGATTATTGTAGAAAGGAACTTTAATTTGATTTCATGGGTTTCTCACTTTATTGTCACCATTAACATACTGATGGTAACAGGTGGGTTTTAGTCAAAAGGGATGCAATGGATTAGATTGATGTTAAAAAAACATTTACTCTTCCCTGGTCCCCACTGCCATAGAAGGAATGTACTTTGCTGCCCCGTTGATGTTAGACTGGACTGTGCGATTTGCTTTGTTCCTGCGACAGGTGTATGACTTGACTGTGGGCTCAGCCACATGATTTGCTTTGGCCAATGGGATGATAGTAGTGACCTGAAATATGTGTGTGCAGCTGAGCTCACCCTCTTACCGTTTCTGCCACTGCTAGGAAAAGAGCTTCCCCAGGTAGCTACTCCTCTTTAGCTTGGGCTCCCGCCCAACTCACAGTGAGAAGCCATCCCAGCTGGACCTAGATGTCAGCCTGAGGAAAAAACCCAGCGGTGTCCAGCCTACAGTTGATGTTCAGATTCACGAGCACAGGAATAAATGCGTATGGCAGTATGTCACTGAGTTTGGGGTGGTTTGTTACACAATAGTACTGTGACACTAACTGATCAGTACAAGTAAGATAATGCGAGTGCTTCCACATCTTGTAACATTTTTAAATGAATGTTTAAGTGTGGGTTCTGAAGACCAATTTTTTTTTAGTATAAGACTCAAATTGCCAACAATTAGTCCTGAAAATAATAAATAGTAACTTAACATTAGGTCTGTTTTTAAAAACACATTTTGAAAGTAATTTTTGGCTAGTGGACTGAATAATTATTCTGGATGTGTTATTTTAAATTCCCTGTATAAGCATTTTGATCTGGAACCCCAAACCTTAGTAACAGGATACTAAGAAAAGAGCTTCCCCAGGTAGCAATCCTGTCAGATAACAACCCAGGTAGGTGAAAAAGGCATCCTCCCAAGGAATTAGGTTATCATGTCACAATTTCTTGAACCATAGTCCTTTAAAAAGAATTAACACTGTTTTTTTAAGTAACCCACCTAAGGAGTCTAAAATATCCTTTATATCTGTAATTAGACAGTCCAGTTTATAATTCTCTCGATGAATGGGAGCGTCTGTTTCTCCATAGCCTCTCAAATCCAGCGCTACAACTCGGTATTCACTTTTAAACTCCCTCAGCTGGTAACGCCAAGAATACCTGAAGGATATAAGGAACATTAAATATACCACAGTGACTAATAAAAATAGTAACATTATAGATTTTCTAAGTGGAAAACTATAAGAAACTCCTTATCTTGAGAAAGGTTGTAGAGCTCAGTATAAGCAGGAAAGAAGAGACCTGTTTGAGAAGGGAACACTGACATTCTTTATTAAAATTATTTTAATAGTAATTGTTAATCTTTTCTTTTAAATATATTGTTATTGATTTCAGAGAGGAAGGGAGGGGGAGAGAGAGAGAGAGACAGAAACATCAATGATGAGAGAGAATCATTGATCGGCTGTCTCCTGCAAGTCCCACAATGGGGATCGAGCCAGCAACCTGGGCATGTGCCCTGAGAATCGAACCCATGACCTTCTGTTTCATAGGTTGACACTCAACCACTGAGCCATGCCAGCTGGGCAATATTGGTAATCTTGCCTCTGGGTTGTAACAAACAAATGAAGCACTTTGTTTCCTTAAGATAATCTGTCAACACATATGATATTATTATTTTCTCATTAGCTTTACTTAAAATTTTGAATTGATTTTTTATGTCTTTGTACCTAATCAATAAAGTTCTGCAGATTTAAGCTCTTAAATATTTAATTAATCACTTTTCCTGCCCATCCTTGCTAACATTATCTTAATTCAGGCCTCCACTGATGCAACAACCTATTGATTGATCTGTGTCCACATCATTCCCTTCCATTCTTTCTTCTATGAAACCAAAGTGCTGTAGCAAAACCACATACTCTCTCATGTAATTTCCCCACTTAAAATATTTTCTTGACACCTTATTATTCATAATGTGAAGCTCAAACTCCTTCTGGCAGACAAAACCTCCAAGATTTGACTATTACCAAATTTTCCAGCCCGATTACTTTATACCCTGTCATCTGCTATATAATAAAAAGAGCTAGTATCTACATCATTCTCACCAAGGGCCCGGCACCTTTTGGTATACGGGACTACTCTCCAACCAACTGAGCCACACGGGCCAAGGCCCAATCTGCACATCTTAATCCCTTCACCATTTCACCCAGCCCCCCCTGATAAAATGTGCATTAGTTTAATATATTAAGTATCTGTGTCTTCATTCAGAATTCACTTAATTAGAGATTTCAAGGTAGAAATTTGATTCAAAATAATGTGTATAATCTCACAATATTTTACATTTAAAATTGTATTAGATACTATGCAAACATAATACCTGCATTATCATATCATGTAATAATTAAAATAGCCTTACAAATAAATTTAACTATTGCCATTATCAGTGAATGGAGTCAAACAATATCTTAAAAATTTCTAAGAAATAGCACAACTGGGGAAAACATATTTGCCAACGTCATATCTGATAAGGGCCTAATCTCCAAAATTTATAGGGAACTCTTACAACTTAAGAAAAAGAAGATAAACAATCCAATCAAAAAATGGGCAAAGGATCTAAATAGACACCTTTCAAAAGAGGACATTCAGAAAGCCAAGAGACATATGAAAACATGCTCAAAGTCACTAATCATCCGAGAAATGCAAATCAAAACAACAATGAGGTACCATCTCACACCTGTCAGAATGGCTATCATCAACAAATCAACAAACAACAAGTGCTGGAGAGGATGTGGAGAAAAAGGAACACTTGTGCACTGCTGGTGGGAATGTAGACTGGTGCAGCCACTATGGAAGACAGTATGGAGTTTCCTCAAAAAACTGGAAATGGAACTCCCATTTGACCCTGTGATCCCACTTCTAGGAATTTATCCCAAGAAACCAGAAACACCAATCAGAAAGGATATATGCACCTATATGTTCATAGCAGCACAATTCACCATAGCTAAGATCTGGAAACAGCCTAAATGCCCATCAGTAGATGAATGGATTAGAAAACTGTGGTACATCTACACGATGGAATACTATGCTGCTGTAAGAAAGAAGGTACTCTTACCATTTGCAACGGCATGGATGGAGCTGGAGAGCATTATGCTAAGTGAAATAAGCCAGTCAATGAAGGAAAAATACCACATGATCTCACTCATTCATGGATAATAGAGACCATTATAAACTTTTGAACAATAATAGATACAGAGCAGAGCTGCCTCACACAGATTGTCAAATTGCAGCGGGAAGGCCGGGGAGGGTTGGGGGGCAGGAGGGAGGGGGTAAGA